GCCCATAAAAAAAACGTAAAAAATAACCAAGGCGCGGGAAGAATAAACACAGAGGAAAGGAGGTAAACAGGACGGACAAAATAATTCAATAAAACGGGAGGCGAGAGGCTTTGTTAACCGGCCGGGGGAAACCTCCAAAGGCCACGGCGGCAGAATGCACAGATAACGAAAGCACGCGACGCCCATATTGAGGCTGCGGGTATCGTGTAGCTCTTGGGGCGGAGAGGAGGAAGAGAGGGGGAGGAGGAGGGGGAAGAGGAAGAGAGAGAAGGAGAGGGGAAGAAGAGAGGGAGGAGGAGGAGGGAAGAAGAGGAGGAGAGGAGGAGGGGAGAGGGGAAGAGAGGGAGGAGGCGAGAAAGTGGGGGAGAGAGGAGGAGAGGAGGAGAAGTGGGGGAAAGAGGAGGAGAGGGGGGGAGGAAGAGGAGGAGGAAGAAACGATAGAGGTGAGCATGGAGAGGAGAAGAGTACTGGAGATGAGAAACAAGGTTCGGAGAAAAGGGGAGGGGAGGAGGAGGAGAAACAGTGGGAGAGGAGAGGGAGGTACTGGAAACGGTGTAGAAACATTGAGAGGAGAGAGAGAGGAGGATGAGAGATAATGAATGAGAAACGGAAGGGGAGGAGAGGTGGAGGAAGTTGATGCGAAGAATATGAATGAGATGGTGAAGGTGAGGAGTGAAAGAGGGAAGCCGAAGACGAGGACGACGAATATGAGGATTAGGCCGGCGAAGGGGAGGGAGGGGAGGAAGGGGGGGGGGGGTAGGAGGGAGGGGAGGGAGAGAAGGCAGGCTGGCAGGCAGAAGGATGGAAGGCCGCGATAAATGGTGACATATAAAACACGCGCGACCTTCCGGCGACATAACAAAAACCGTTTTATCCACATCCAGCCCCGAGAGAGTTGTGGCGCGGGGGGAGGGAAGGGGAAGGGGAAGGGGAAGGGGGAAGGGGAAGGGGAGGAGGGGATGGAAGGCAATAAACACCTCAAACTCCAACACTATATCTCAACCAGGCTCCGGCACTCCTCCGAATCCACATCCCGGTGGTAAGAACTCCACACACTCCAGCGCTCCACCTCGATCTATATGAGCATCTACCACTCCCCCCACTCCCCTCCCCCACCCGTCAACCCCCAACAACTCCCCCCCCCCATATCCCGCCCCGTTCCTCTTCTCCACCTCCTTCGCCACCTATCCTCCCCTATCCATCCCTATCCACCGTCCCCCCTCCCCCTCCCCTTCCCCGACCCACCGACGAAAAGGGAAGAACAAGAAACCCCACGATTATGCTTATTCCTCGTTCAAGTTCTTTTCTCTCCGTCATTTCCCCCTGCAACGCGTTCCGACGAACCGACGCGACCGCTAGCATCCCCCCCCCCCCCCACGCGCCGACCGACCGCAATCCGGGGCTCGGTCTGAACGCGCGTTTTACCGTTGTCGGTCACGCGCGCCTTGGCTTCCCCCCCCTCCTCCCCCTCCCCTCTCCCTTCCCCCGTTCCCCTTCCCGCACCTCAGAATTACTGACAAGGTAAAAAGAAAAAAAAAATAATCAATAAATAAATAATAATAATAATAATAATATATAAAAATATAAAAATATATCCCATAAAAAGGAAAATCTTATTTGACGTTTACAATATGAAATCTGCTCGCGCACGCTGCTCTCCGTTTTTGTTCAGGTCTTTATTGCCCTGAACACAAGCCAGTGATGAGCCGTATTCACGGTGACAAATGCAGAAAAAGGCATGAATGAGAAATGCACATATTCACAATAGAAGGGACGCGTTGTATTATGAAGATCATTCATCCTCGTGCATCCCTCTTCTACAGGCAACAGCAGCAGAAATATTCGTATCAATTCTTATTCCAATCTCCGCTTGTTCCATCCCTGTCCCACCCGCAACCGGCACAAGACACGAAAGAATCCGGCCATGAATGCAAAATATAGCAACAACAGCGCTGCTTAAAAAAAACAATCTTTTGTACCAATCCTAAATCACAATCGTATAAATTGCAGAGGCAACTACATCAACAATAGCGCAACTGTCGGAGCAGCTCGGACCTCCTCCCCCCCTTTCCTCCTATTCCATTCATAATCATCTGCAAAGAATTCCTCAACAGAAATTTGGAGGAAAAAAATGTTAAACCGCCGATGACTCAATGGCCCTGGATGGACTTCCGCCAACTAGGAAACAACTCGCAGTCTAACAACTCGTAGTCCAACAACTCGCAGTCTAACAACTCGTAGTCCAACAACTCGTAGTCCAACAACTCGCAGTCTAACAACTCGTAGTCCAACAACTCGCAGTCTAACCACTTTGTCTAACAACTCGCAGTCTAACAACTCGTAGTCCAACAACCCGCAGTCCAACAACTTTGTCTAACAACTCGCAGTCTAACAACTCACAGTCTAACAACTCGCAGTCTAACAACTCACAGTCTAACAACTCACAGTCTAACAACTCACAGTCTAACAACTCACAGTCTAACAACTCATAGTCCAACAA